CTCTCAGTCTCAGCCTCAGCCCTCAGTCCCATTCCCAGTCCCATTCTTAGCCTCAGCCTCAGTGCCAGCCTCTGCTTCAGACCAGTCCCAGTCCCAGTCCTGGAGTTTCCGAGGTTGTGGTCTGAATGAGGGACAGTTGGGATCATGTAGGACCACATTCAGTGACATCACCTCGAGCTTCAGAGCCGCTCAAAGAACTGCTTTCACTGAAGCAGACGCACATGCCGCAGTCTGAGAGAGCATTAATGAACTTAGAAGCACGGCTATCCTCTGAAAACACATAGTAGACTTTTAAGAATGTTGTTCTGTGTGTGTGAGCTCAGTATGAGTGTAGGTTCAGATGGATTGTTCTTTTATAACTTGAATAGTAATTTCTTTCTAATCAATTATGGTTGTATAAACATCTACAGTTCTGTTTAGCTGTGCATACAACTGAGGGATATTATATTTTTATCTTTCTTTTTAATGTACTGTGATTATTTATGATTTTAATGCTATCCTATTTTGTCAGCATTTTGAGTTGCCTTGTGTATGAATTGTGCTATACAAATAAACTTGCCTACTTTTGTTTTCACTGCTTTACAAAAACCTGCTCAAGGACTATTCTGTAAATTAGCTCTGCTGCTATAAACCTGGTGTAAAGCATCTCTCCGTTTGGCTAACGCACTGTAAACACAAAATCATACCATATCAAACTTTCTTCCTATGAGGCAGTGAGATAACCATGGACATTCACAGCACCGATATCTCTTAATATGTTCTCTACAAAAAATTATTATTATGAAGTAATAATTGCTGAAATCCAGGGCTTTTTATTCTGACTGTGTCAAAACAAGATTCTCTGATGGGACCAAGCCATTCAGACTTATTTAGTTATTCATTCCAATTCATTCCAATGGGGATATTTCTGTATTTTTTAAAACAAGATCATTTTCCCCTGTCCCATTTGCAAATCCTGTTTTAAGATTAAGATTCATTTTGCATGTTTTGGCTTATCACTTTTTACAGTGTATAAATCTTGGATATCATGTGAAGCGGATCTTTTCCCCCGGTCATTAACAAACCCATTCTCCGGTCGGAGGTAAAGCGTGTGTTTAAACGTGTTCCTTTGACGTCTCGTGCTGATCCTGATGATTGTGGTGTTTTGAAAGAGTCGGGACGGGCTCTTTTGTACGTGGCACACCTGGAGGCTCTGAGCTGGAAAGTCCGAGAGCAGGACGCAGGTGTGAAAGTGTCCTCACAGCACATTCCACAGACACAGCGCCCCGGGACCCCAGCCCCGCTCCCACCGCGGCCCTTTGATCGCCCTCAAACGGGACAGAGAGAGAGAGAGAGATAGGGGCCGTCCACGTGTTCTCACCGTCCTGACCAGAGAATAACCTCTTTATTTTACATTATTCAGCTTTTCAGTCACGTTCAATTCATTGTCTTTGTGTGTATAAGTTATCACATCTGCAGTGCTCTGGGAGGACTTTACAATGTTGATTTACCAACAGCAGATCAGAGAATCAGACAGTTAGAATACAGTAAACTTAAAACACATGGGGCTAAAAAGTTATCATGACTCTACATCTCTACTCTACCCATACCTTACTCTACTCTATTCTACTTTACCCTACCCTACCCTACCGAACATTACTCTACCCTACCCTACTCTGCTCTGCTCTACCCTATTCTACGCTTCTCTACTCTACACTACCACCTACTCTATTCGAACCTACCCTACCCTACCATAATCTACAGTATTCTACCCTACCCTACCCTACTCCACTCTACCCTACCCTACTCTACTCTACTCTATTGGGAGTGTTTTATCTGGTCTTTTGTAACCAGTATCAGGTCCTTCTTTAGTCCCTCTTGGTCCTAGTTCTAACTGACAGTGATTGGACATTGAGTGCTGCTGGAAGCCATGGCTACCAAGGAATTTTTTTTGGGTAAGTTGTTGAGATATGGTACCAGATACTAAAGCGAAATGGAAACGCAAGCAGGTAGAGTAGAGTTGAGCACACTTTTTCTCCTTTTTAAACCACAAACAAGTATGTCCTGTATGTAAGTCCTAAATCACAACAGCGGTCATATCCGAGGGCTTAACAAAGTTGTCGATTTGCCACCAACAGACCAGAGAATCAAACAGTTCAAACACAGAAAATGCAATACTAACAAACACATAGAAACCATTGGTCCATGGGCAGCAGAAAGACCAATGTAAATGTGGATAAACGTCCTAATTATCCTGCATCATATCTGTCCTTAAGCCCTCCCGCATCAGAAAGGAACCACTCAAACACCATTATCTTTTGTGTCTAGTAAAAATGAACGTCGGTGATTGACTGTGAACACAAAGGGACCTCTCACAATTAACAGATTTTTCCCCCATCAATCAATCAATCAAAGTTTATTTATAAAGCGCTTTTTCATACAACAGATGCAACACAAAGTGCTTTACAGTTTGGCTAAAAAACAATCCTGCCCATGCCCTCCCCCCGACCGCCCAACAGACCCCTCCCCAGACCACAAGCAAACACCCCCCCCCCCCCCCCCCCCCACACACACACACACACACACGCGCACACACACACGCACCGATAAAACAATAAAACGACGATAAGAGACTTGGCAGGGTTCAGATGCAACCGGCTGAAGAAACGCCATCCAAGGAGCCGTCAGCGCCAGGAGCAGAGAGCCGCCCATAGCCAAAGGGGACGACACAGGACCCAGAGGAGACCCAAAACCGAGGCCCCGGGCCCCCACCAGGTCCAAGAGTCCGACCCCCACAGCCACAGCCAACCACCGCTCCCAGCGCAGAAGGCTCCTCCAGAGGAAACACTGGGGATACTTAAAAACAATACAATAAGTAAAACACTAAAATGTGAGCCTGAGAGGAACTATCACACAAAACATGAATAAAAGCAATAGCAATATAATAAATAATAAAGGATAAATAGAATATATACAAATGGACTAATAAATACTAATCAAAAGCTAATCTAAAAAGGTGTGTCTTGAGCCTGGCTTTAAAAATATGAACGTTCTCTGCGGCCCTGAGCTCCTCCGGCAGACTGTTCCAGAGACGGGGGCCGTAGTGCTGGAAAGATGCCTCGCCGTGAGTGTGTGTCCTGACTTTGGGGATGGTTAGGAGTCTGCTGCCGGAGGAGCGCAGGGGCCGGGAGGGTTCATAGGATAAAAGCAGTTCTGAAAGATAAGAAGGCCCAAGACCATTAAGACATTTGAAAACCATTAAAAGAACCTTAAAATCAATCCTGAAACACACGGGGAGCCAATGCAGCGATTTTAAAACCGGTGTAATGTGGTCCCGCCCCCTGGTCTTAGTCAGGACACGTGCGGCCGAGTTTTGAAGTAATTGTAAACCTGAAATGTTCTTTTTGGGAAGACCAGAGAGCAGGGCATTACAGTAGTCAATGCGACTGGTGATAAAAGCATGCATCAGCGTCTCCGCGTCTCCATCTCTCTCCTCCATCAGCAGAGCCCTGTCACATAAAGCCCACAGTATCAGGAGCACTAATGGACGACTCCTTGGTGCACTATTGAGAGACTGAACTTATTTGGAGACAGAAATATGCTAATAGATAACGCCCACGCTAATGGAAGCACTGCTATTATGATTGTGGTTATGACCAGGGCGGCTTTGTCCCCACCTCCCTCTCTCTATTCATGTACGTTCTTTGTCTGGAATGTTCTAAAAACATATCCAGGTCTCAGTCCTCACACACGCTACTGTTGTGTTTTTTTTCTATGTTAATATTTGTCAATGTTATTGTTATGTTTTGTGCGTTCTGGACTAAAAAAGCTTGTTCCTATTGCAGCCTTGAGTTTGTTTTTTAGTCGTGTTGGGAAAACTGCGTTGCCTCCAGACACCAGTGGGAAAGGGATGCGTGTTGTTTGGACCCGTGTCTGCTTTTGATGACGGGAAAGACAGGGACGGGTCAAACTAAAAGGGTCGGGGGGAAAAGCCTGACTATCATAATAAGTCACAGTGCCTAGACAGAGTAGAGAGAGAGACAAGAGAGAGTGACTACAGCGAGACCAGAGAGAGACACTGGAGAGAGAGAGAGGGAGAGACTGGAGAGGGGCACCAAAGAGAGACCAGAAAGAGCGTCTGGGGAGAGAGAACAGAGAGAAAGACCAGAAAGAGAGACCAGAGAGAGAGAGACAAGCAAGAAAGAACAGAGAAAGAGAGTGACTAAAAAGGGAGATCAGAGAGAGATAGAGAAATGAGAGAGAACAGAGAAAGAGCAACTACAGAGAGAGACCAGAGAGCGACCTGGAAGACAGACCAGGGAGAGAAGGGCAAGGATCATCCATAAACATAATTTTCAAACTTTTTTTTCAGGGAAAACAGTCACACAACAGTGGGAAAGGGAGGCGTGTTGTTTGGACCCGTGTCTGCTTTTCATGACGAGAAAGACAGGGGGCAGGTCAAACTAAAAGAGAGAGAGGGACTGGAGAGGGGCACTAAAGAGAGACCAGAGAGTGAGACAAGCAAGAGAGAACAGAGAGAGAGAGAGAGACAAGAATGAGAGACCAGAGAGAGAGAACAGAGAGAGAGAGAGAGAGAGAGATATATAAGCGAGTTAGAATAGAGAAAGAGACCAGAAAGAGAGAGAGACTAGAATCAGAGACCAGAGAGAAAGACTGGAGAGAAGGACCAGGGAGAGACCAGAGGGAATGTATTATATTTTACTGAAAACAGAAATGTTCTCAAATAATTATTTTCAAACACATTTTTTTTAGGGATAACTTTATAAAGGAAATAGCAGTGTGTGTAACAACCCAAACTCTAATGGTATAAGAGCCTCATTCCCCCAAACACAGCTCCACGGCTCGGGGGGGTTTTGGCTCAATGTGAGAAACTAGTAAATGATTAAAGTCCAACCCCTCTGCTGTCTCTGTCTCCCCCGAGTCTCCCTCCTTCAGACATGGGGACGTCTGGAGGGGGTTTGTCTCTGCTCTGATCACAGTCTGAGCGTGTGTGGACCTGAATGCACTTCAGACCAGCTTCTTTCCTTCTCCCCCTCCTCACCCCCTCACCCTCTTCACTCCTTCATATCTCCCCTCCCATTTTCCTCCCCTCCCTCTTCATTCTCCCCCAAATCTCCACCCACCTCTCCCTCTTCCTTCTCATTACATTCTCTCCCTCTCTCCTTCTCTTTGTCCTCTCCTCTCCTCTCTCCCCCTACCTCTCTCTCCTATCCTCACCCCCTCACCCTTTCTCCTCTACACTCCTTCATATCTCCCCTCCCTTACCTCTCATATCTCCTCTCCTCTTCTCTTTGCCCCTAGCTCCCCACTCCCCCCTCACTTTCCTCCTCTCCCTCTTCACTCTCCCCCAAATCTCTACCCACCTCTCCCTCCTCATTACATCCTCTCCCTCTCTCCTTCTCTTTGTCCTCTCCTCTCACCCCCAACCTCTCTCTCCTATCCTCACCCGCTCACCCTCTCTCCTCTTCACTCCTCCCTTCCTCTCTTCCCATCATACTCTCTTCTCCTCACTCCCACGTATATCATCTCTCCTCTCCCTTCTCTCTCCTTTTCCCCCTTCATATCTCCCCACCTTTCCTCCCCCATCTCTCTCCCCTCCTCTCCTGTCTCCCCCTGATCTTCTAGCCTCGCGAAGACCCCTCATCTCTCCCTTACCTCTCCCCATCCGCTCAGATCTCCTCTCCTCTTCCCTTTCCCCTTGGCTACCTACTCCCCCCCTCATTTTCCTCCTCTCTCCTCTCCTCCTCATTCCATCATCTCCCTCTCTCCTACTCTTCCTCCTCTCTCCTGTCCTCACCTCCTCTTCTCTCTCCTACCCCCCTCCTCCCACACACACACACCTCTTTTTCCCCCTCTCTCCATTGGCTCCCACACTCCGCACGTGCGCCTCTCCCATGCCCGTTTCCAAGGTTACAGCTGCTTTGTTTTTTTTTCCACCGCCACACCCCGCCTCACCCCGACTGCAGCGGCCGCTCTCCCCCCTTTCACTTAAGCGCCGTGAACTGGTGTGCAGCTGAGTCTGAATAAGACGTTCCTCCGGAGGGGTTAGTGCTGCAGTCTCTCCGCAGCGAAGGACATTAGAATCTGTGACGCATGGAGCTGAAACTGACCCTTATCTACACAATGGAGCTCTGAAACTGAAGAATATGGCCTTTCACAGACTCCAAACTGCAGTCGTGATTGGTACATAAGAATTCGAAGCCTTAGATAGATCCAGTTAAGCCAAGCCAACATATTTTTCATTATGGCTTTCACGTTTTTTTTTTATGAAACAACTAACTGTGTAATTACCTGAAATGGTTTTGGAATGTCCTTTCAGATAGACAAGATAGATATTTATTGATCCTTGTAGGAGAAATGCAGGTGTCCAGTAGCAGCCAAAACACATCCATCCATAAAAAACAAGACAAATAAATTGATTAATCTAAAAAGTTAACAATAGTAATGATAAAATACATCAGTCCTTCAGGTCACAGCAGCAGAGGTGGACCATCCGCTTGGTTTGGACCATTTTCTCTGCTCTGGTCCAAAGTAAAATCCTGAATGATTTGTTAGCATTATTTAAAAAGTTAGCATTCCTCCGGTGGATTTTTGCTCGATCCACTTGGTTCGGACCATGAATCCTCTCTGCTCTGCTCTGGTCTAGATCAGTGTAAAACCATGAACACTGTACTGCAGCAACATCTCAGGCAGAAAAAAAAAGACAGAAATAACAACTGTTTCAGAGCTACCTGGGACTTGCTGCAGTTTCAAGCGCACTCAAAAGTAAACAGATACAGATTATTTATTTTACCTCCTCACCAGCTCTCACTATATTTGTGTTCTGCAAGGTTCTATTTTTGATCCCATTTTATTTTCTATGTGCTCCCCTTAGGACACATTGGCACGACATTATTTTTTATCAATGGGATTACAATACATGATACATAGAAGATGTATCATGTATGTACAATACATGTACAATATATATGACATTCCCGGTGCATGTTGGCCTCCGCCAGGGCTGCCCTTTGTCACAGGTTCTGTTCACTGTGTTCATGGACAGAATTTCTAGGCGCAGCCAGGGGTCGGAGGGGGTCCGGTTTGGGGACCACAGGATTTCATCTCTGCTGTTTGCGGACGATGTTGTCCTGTTGGCTCCAACGAACCAGGACCTACAACATGCACTGGGACGGTTTGCAGCCGAGTGTGAAGCGGCTGGGATGAGAATCAGCACCTCCAAATCCGAGGCCATGGTGCTCAACCGGTAAAAGGTGCCTTGCCCTCTCCGGGTGGGTGGAGAGGCCCTTCCTCAAGTGGAGGAGTTCAAGTATCTCGGGGTCTTGTTCACGAGTCAGGGAAGGATGGAGCGTGAGATTGACAGGCGGATCGGTGCAGCGTGCGCAGTGATGCGGTCGCTGTATCGGACCGTTGTGGTGAAGAGGGAGATGAGCCGAAAGGCAAAGCTCTCGATTTACCGGTCAATCTTCGTTCCCTCCCTCACCTATGGTCATGAGCTTTGGGTAATGACCGAAAGAACGAGATCGCGGATACAAGCGGTCGAAATGAGCTTCCTCCGCAGAGTGGCTTCCTTAGAGATAGGGTGAGGAGCTCAGTCACACGGGAGGAGCTCGGAGTAGAGCCGCTGCTTCTCCACGTCGAGAGGAACCAGTTGAGGTGGCTCGGGCATCTGTTCCGGATGCCTCCTGGACGCCTCCCTGGGGATCTGTTCCGGGCACGTCCCACCGGGAGGAGGCCCCGGGGAAGCCCTAGGACACGCTGGAGGGACTATGTCTCTCAGCTGGCCTGGGAACGCCTTGGAGTCCCCCCGGACGAGCTGGAGGAGGTGTGTGTGGATAGGGAAGTCTGGGCGTCTCTGCTCAGACTGCTGCCCCCGCGACCCGGCAACGGATGAAGCGGAAGAAGATGGATGGATGGATGGATACAAGAGGAAGCTTCTGAGGCTTTCATCTGATATAAAACAACCAAATAACTTCAATCACCACATGTTTTGGTGGTACACTTCCGCCTTCGTCAGAGGAGATGTGATGATGTGACGTGTCTCTGCTGTTGTTTTCGGATGTAGCCAGTCTTATAGATCGGGAAGATCCATCAGACTGGCCACGCCTCCCGCCGCACTGTGGTCTCTGGAGAAGTGAGTCCCATGTGTGCGCCAAGGTGAAGGCCCCCTCATCTCCATCTATGGTTCGTTTGCCCTTCTTCCTGATTTCAATCACCTCTTTTTCAGCCTTTACTGAACTGGGCAGATCGTCCTTTTCATCCAAAACTTGTTACAGTTAAAAGAACTTCGTCCCCTGGTCTCATCTAAATTTCTATTGAAGGAGAGATTGACTGAAATGGGCAGATGTTACTCTTGTGCTGGATATTCTAACCAATTTGATGTATTTTTATAACGTCGTTGTTTGTGTTTGTGTACGTATGTTATTTCTTACCAAGGTGTTCTTGGCCAGGTCTCCCTTGTAAAATAGATTTTATCTCAAGGGACTTCCTGGTTAAATAAAGGTTAAATAAAAAAATTAAAAATACCTTGGCTCACACATTGGACTCACTTCTCTTGATCTGTCTTTTTGCAAACATTAAAAATTCTTACCAAGTTTTTTTACTTATAGTACATGTGTGCACAGAGATATTGATACACAGCTACTATCCATCTTGGTTCCTTGTTTCCTGTCAAAGTATTCTGCACCGAGTTTGCCGACATCTTTGCCTGTAATACTGCGGAGTGGAGCAAAACTGTCGCACTCCCGTATTAGCCTTCATTCAGCTAGCAGATTAGCATTGTCCATCCGTATAAAGTCTGGGTGAAACCGGAGACACACCGGTAAATTAAAAGTTGGTAATAATTTAAAGGTAGGTGTTTTTGACTGCTGTGGTCGTCTTCAGGGCTCTCATCTCGCAGTGAATGATTTTAGACTTCTGCTTTGTGCTCTTTAGGGTCTGAAACGACTCACGAATGTTCACAGTCAAACGTGAGGCTGGAGCAAACAAACGACGACGACGGGAAATGTCTCTTCACTACTCGACACTTTCAAAGCCTGTGACCTTAAGCTCTCGCCAATTAGTGGTGAAAATCCTGAATAAAACCAACCTCTCTTTAAAGTTTTCTTTTTAAAGGCAATTAAACCAGATCTATTCAACTGTAATAAATGTAATAACAGCGGAAAACCATGGACGACACTTGTACAATGTACCATAATATTGTATAACCATATATTGGTTATGCAGTGAAAGAAACCCGGGGATTTCGCCCAAAAACCCCGGGTTGCTCTTCCTTACACACACAGCAACACAGGCTGGTGTGTCTCAACAACTCGGCATTTAACCCGCCTCATTACCTAGACTTTTAATAATAATAAAAAAAAATTTTAAACACTTCTCTCACACTTTCACGATGAGGGTGAAGTGTTTTGCCTATAGACACAAGAACAGGGGGAGAGGAGAGTCATTTAGATTAACAATAAAACCACCTGTTGCGTACATGTGGCTCAGGTGAAGGAGGTGATAAAACTACACGAAATTCACACAAGGGACAATACTTTGGATAATGACAGCGTAACGAGCCGTGGAGCCGTGTTTGGGTGATTGAAGCTCTCATCGTCAGAGTTTGGGATTTTGCACATGTTGATCTTTCTGTTATAAACTGTTTATATTGCTCCACATGGATGAGGACCTGGGCACTGTCTCTTAAAATGGGATTCCTTTTGGTTTTGGAGAAAAATATCTGTAATACCTAAATCAAAGTAAAGCGCTCGGCTATCTATAAAAATAGGACTTTATTTCGACTGGTTCCCGTCTACCCAAGCCGACACGGGTCCAAACACACGCCCACCTTTCCCACTGTTGTCCCGGATCAACACGACACGTCAACACAGAGCAGGAGTCTGATCCAAACTCGCTCGTAGGTCGTTTCTATACATTTGTCCCGACTCGATCCTGGACTGTGGTGTGAGAAACTGGATGAAGTGAGAATGTCTAAACCAGGTCTAAATTTTAAAAAGTGTTCTTTGGCCAGACATGATTTTGACATTATTTGCTTTGGCGTTTTATGTATGTGAGAGAATTGATGTAGAAAATATATGGGTGAAAATGAATAACTCAAAGTGCTTAACAACAGACAAATCAAGATATCAATGTGTTTTTGTATAGGCTTTCACCTTCTGGTCTCTCTCTCTGGTCTCTCTCAAGTCTCTCTGTGGTCTCTCTGTGGTCTCTCTCAAGTCTCTCTCTGGTCTCTCTGTGGTCTCTCTGTGGTCTCTCTGTGGTCTCTCTCTGGTCTCTCTCTGGTCTCTCTCTCTGGTCTCTCTCTGGTCTCTCTCTGGTCTCTCTCTCTGGTCTCTCTCTGGTCTCTCTCTGGTCTCTCTCTGGTCTCTCTCTCTGGTCTCTCTCTGGTCTCTCTCTGGTCTCTCTCTGGTCTCTCTGTGGTCTCTCTCTTGTCTTTCTTTTGTCTCTCTGTGGTCTCTCTCTGGTATCTCTCTGGTCTCTCTCTCTGGTCTCTCTCTGGTCTCTCTGTGGTCTCTCTGTGGTCTCTCTCTCTGGTCTCTCTCTGGTCTCTGTCTGGTGTCTCTCCACCATTTACCATCAACAGATCAAAGAATCAAACAGATTGGAGAAGCTACTACAAAACTATTTTTGATGCAATACTTTAATTTTAAGGTATTTTTCAGAGGACAGAGCCGAATTCTGACCAATTATTTTTATATTTCTCCAGTCAAATTAGTAAGTATGTCAGTCAGATTGTATTTTAAACAATCTTACTGATTAACAAGATAAAAAACAATTAAAAAGGTCACAATATAAACAAGTAAAGAGTCTGTTGTTCCTCTTCTCCAGCTGTGTGCCTTCAGTTACACCACGCCTTGTTAGATTCTGATATAAACCTTGCAGACTGTCATTTGCCACCTTTAACACTAGATGGCAGTGTTGGCGCAGTCTGGGTCATATTTATCCACAAAAACACATGTAGTTTTTCCCATCAGAGAGAATCAACAAATCAGACCACATCTGTCTGCATCTCATC